CTGTCCCCACGCGGGCGGGGGGACCCGCACCAGCCAGGCCCGGGCCGGCTCTGTGGACCCACTGTGCGCTCGCAACTTCTCAGGGTTTTCCTATCAGCCAGATGGTAAGGTGGACATGTGATCCGAGACCCTTGATAGACCGGTGCCCCCAGAGAATGGGTGGGGGCGGGGGCTCTCACATTTGCTTGTCCTGGTGGCACCAGACCGAGACAGACCCGTGGGCTCTGATCCTGCCCCTTCCAATTACTAGCTGAGCCCTAGGCCGAGACACTTAGCCCCTCTGGGCTTCAGGTCTGCATCTGCGAAAGGGAGTGACCCACGGGGATGCTGTGGGGGTAACGTGGGACCCCCCCATAGGACAGCAGGCCTTCGGCGGTGGGCCCCGTTTGCTAGATGCTCAGTAAATGTTAACTCGCTCCCCCGACAGTGCCTGTTCCCAGAGCTGCCCCCACCTTCCCTGCTACCCAAAGGAGAATGCCCCACCCCATCCCCCAAGTCAGCTGTTTTGAAACGTGGGGCCTCAGGTGGGGCTTGCACTGCACTTCCAAGATTCAGTACATGGACATACATCTTCCACACTGGACAGGGGTCAGGGCTCAGGCCCCCAAAAGCTTCCTTTAAAACCCTCGGTTGCTGAATTAGCTCTCATCCAGGAATAAAGCCAAGCACTTTACAACCCAGAAAGCGAAGTGTTTAGCTAGGTGTGTCTTGCTCTCTGCCTTCAGAAACACCTTTGGCCAGGCCCTTCCTATAAACAAGGTTCTCCAAGATTAGGATATCTCGAAGCACCCAACCAGGGCAGGAAGAGAAACCTGGTCATTCTCGCACTGAGCCAGCGACAGACAAACAAACAGGTTCGTGAATTAAACCCCCAGACCGCAACCGGCCAGACTCCGTGGGCTTCCCGCCCAAAGACGCTCTCACGGGACCACGCTCCCTCCCTTCGGCTCTCGCTCAGGATTCAGGATTCCGCATCTTCCCCAGATTTTGCAGAAGGGCAAACGGCTGCCCTTCCTTCTTTGGTCTGAGTTAGTCCTCAGGTGGAATTCCCCGATGAGGACAAGGCCACCTGTGCTGTGAAACGTCCTAGGGAAAGTCCAAAAAAGGAGAGTGACATCCAGTCACCCTTGGGTTTCTCCAGGGGGATCTCAAAGTGCTTGTAAACAGAGAGGCTGTGGAATGCGTCATCCAAACTGGAATGCTTTTGATGGTGAATGGGATGGTGATGGGACCGGCAGACCTCACAGGTACTGCAGGCTCTGCCCAGACCACCGTGACAGGGTGACTAACACGATAAAGCGAGTTTCCCGGTGCCTGTAACAATTATGTTTACACGCTACCGTAGTCTATCAAGCGTTCAATAGCACTTTGTCTAAAATGAACAGTGTACTTACCTTAACTTTAAAAAACGCTTCCTCGCTGTAAAATGAGCATCGTCGGAGCCTTCGGCAAGTTGTAATGTTTTTGCTGGTGGAGGGTATTACGTTCATTTTGTAAAAAAAACACAGTGTCTGCGAAGTGCAGTACAGAAGGTATGTCTGTCTTCAGAATTCCACTAAGGCCACCGGCCTGCCCCAGGCAAACCTGGACATCTGATCGCCTGCGTGTTCATCCAGAGGCCGTGCCAGAGCTCACGTCATCGGAGCTGTCCGGACAGAGCTGGAGATAAAGGAGCCGGGCAGGTCCCGCCTTGTCGTCTGTTTTCCCAAAACTCCCACCTTTCGGTCACGCCGTGCTCTCTGCATGCAGCCGAGCCCCCAGGCTTGGGCTCGGACTGCCCGTCGGCATGTAAAGAAGACTCAGCAGGTCGGGGAGGCCTTTGAGGTGGCCGAAGGTGCGCCAGGGTCATCCGCTGCACAAACAGGGCTGAGTCTGATGTCGAAATCACAGGAACGCCATCAGTCGCTGGGGCGGCACACAGGGCGAAAGCCCCTCAGGGCGGAGATACTTCTTCGGGCTGACCTCAGTTATATGACCCTGCCCGCACTGGCCCACCCAGCCGGCAGCCCCAGCTCTGCGGGGACAGCGCAGCCAGAGCCGCTCTGTGTGGCTCTGGACAAGCGCGGGGCGCACGGTGACTCCGAGGCTGTGTCCAGCTCTGGGTCTGGCTCTGAGCTGTGAGGCCGTGACGAGCCGGGTCAGAGGAGGCCCTGGGCCCTCGGTCTCTGAATCTGCAGTCCCAGGGAGGGGTCCTAGAAACTCTGGGAGTTTGCAGGCGACATGAGCCTGCCGGCCAGGGGCACACACACAGGCCAGGAATTCTGGGCGTCCATGTCGGAGGATAAAATGCTGGGAGGCAGGAAAAGGGGACACCAGCTGCAAAGGGACAGAGGGAGTGTTCCAGGGGACCCTGAAAAGTGACCCAGGAACTCACGGTCATTGAGGACTGTGAAACTGGCTGGACGCGCTGTTAGGTGACGGCTCCCTCTTCCCTTCCCCGGGGCCTGGGCGGGGCGGGGCCAGCTCCCTCTGCAGCCTCCATGCTGCCGCCTCTGAAAACAGGCCTGGCCGGTGGGATGGCTCCCAAGAGTGTGGGCAGGGACACGGGGCAGCTGGGAGCAGAAGGGGACCTGCGTGCGCCACCGGCCCGGGGAGACCGGCCGTCGGAGGCTGGAGGCTCTGAAGAGGTTCCTGTGACCATCAGTTCCGGTCCGTGCAGCTGTTCTCCCGTCCACCTTTGCTGCTCCCACCTTCTCTGTGGTCACCTGGCCGGACAGCAGAAGTTTAAAGCAGCGCAGTACATTGGACGTGACCGAGCTTTAAGCCAGACCTTGGCCGCCTCTGTCCCAACAGGCTCAGTCGACTTTCGGAGTCAGCAACCCGAAGACGAGCTCAGGAGACCGAGCCCGCTTGCTGGGAAGGTGTCAGAACGCAGGACGTAGCTTAGCCTTTGCGGCCCACACAGCGCCTCCTGCCAGTACTCAGTTAGTGTTTAAGAAATTCAGCTCACAGTTTGCAGTGAAAAACAGGAGCAGGGCTGCCGCCTGCTGGCGACGTTGGGAATGGCGCCTCCATGGCCCGGCCGCTGACTGTGCAGCTGCGTGAGGAAGCCCAGCCGACACATCCTTTATCCCGCAAGACCACTCGAGGCTTCCAGTCTTTTCTCTCACTGGAGATGTCCTAGGTGTCCAGCAGAGAAGCCAACTGTCCTGGGACACCGGTGGGTCAGAGGCCTCTGAAGTGAGTGCGAGCTCCGTTTCGTAACTCAGGCTGTCCCCCCCCCCCCCACTGGCAGGTGTTCTGGCCCCTGTTGTCCATCCAGACGGAGCCACGAGCACCCGCTCTGTGCCCAGCATCATGCTGGGTGCCAGGAGTCTGACTCGGGACTTTCTGGGGGGTGGTGAGGTGTGCACCGAACGCGGCAGAGGTGCTGGGCGGTCAGCTTAGGAGGGGACTCCTCACGGCGGGAATCGGGGACCCGCTCTGCTTGCGCCGATGCCCTGTGCTAAGGAGCTGGGCCATAAAGGGCAGCAGGCAGCTGACAGGTGGAGACAGACAGCGTTCCTGTTACTGTCGTTGGGGGACGACGAAGCTCCCCAACTTAGCAGCTGAAAACAACAGTCACTTCCTTTTCTCTCTCACGGTTCTGGGTCCCCTGAGCTCAGCCAGATGGTTCTAGCTTGGGACCCATCACATGGGGGACCCCTACATGTCTCTTGGTGAGGCCTGGTCCTTCACACGTGGCAGCTGGGTTGCCAGGAGGGAGGCAGGGGTCACCATCCCGCCTGTGTGACCCAGCCTCGGAGGCGCATGGCAGAACTCCCCAGGCTGTCCCAGTTGACACCGTCTCGGAGCCCCCCCCAGCTTCAAGGAAAGGGGGACGCAGATGCCACCTCCCCACGTGTAGGTGGCAAGGCCCCAGAAGGCCGTGTGGGGTGGGAGGCGGCATTCAGGCCTATTTTGGAAAACATAACCTGCCACAGGCAGGAAGGTCGATCCAGGCCATCAGGTGAGGTTTGGCTAAGATCAGTTCCTAGTGGGGAAGGATGACCTTGGCGTCCCCACAGCAGTGGGCAGGACGCGCCAGAGGCCACGTCCAAGCCATGGGCAGGGCCCAGACCAGGGAGTGACACCACAAGAAGCTTCGGTGGCGAGAGCTAAGATATGCAGTCACATGGTGGCTGTCCATCTCGGGGTGACTCAGAAGCAGGGAGCCCTGGGGTTAGAAGCCGGGTTGTCACTGAGATGACACAAATATAACGTGAGTCGAGACAGAAAGCCGTAGGAGAATGGACACGGTGTGGCCCCAGCCACGGAGTTCGGACGCAAACACGGCGGATACGGCCGTAAAAGCGTAAAGCCGGGCACGCAGGCGACCGACACGGAGCTCCACAGAGCCTTTCCTCCGGGACGACAGGACAGAGGACGGGCTCCGACCGTGCTGTTCCGTGTCCTAAACGCATGGTGTTTGAGCCGCGTGGTTAAGTTTTACCTGTCGGTTCCGTCTCTCTGGAGAACCTCGGCTCATGTGACAGGCGTGTTCGCTCTGTCATTCTCTGCCCCGTGCGCCTGTCTTGGATAAATCAATGATGGGTGAGCGTTATGCGCAGGTCGGGGAAGATGAGAACCAGCAGATGCCGTGCGGTGGAGCCGTGACAGGCCGGGCACGCCTTTGCCGGGCCAACCCGGCGCTGTGTGCAGTGCAGGTGCTGGGGACACGCACGGCCGTGGAGGAGTTTAGCTGTGACTCGAAGGAAAGCTCGGGGTCCGTGCTGGAGTGGGGTACAGCCAGAGGAAGAGGATTAAAAATGAGCGGCTCACCTCTTCCTGAGGTTTCCGGGCTAATTCGGCTGGACCCGTAGGAGTCCGGGCTCCTTCACCATTCCGGTGAGCATTCTGGAAGACGTGACTCTTCCCCCTTGGGTGTGCAAAGCGATTTTTAAAATGCCCGACCAGAGATGCAAGCCCTCTGGACGTCAGCCTTCCCAGCAGCCGTCTTCCTGAGCGTAATGCCAGCCGCTCACGGAAACGGGGAGGCTGAAGCCCTGGTCATCGCCGGACCCCTGGCCGAAGGGGCTGTGGGAGCCACAGTAA